TCTGTATAATAAAAGCCATTTTGCTAGCCAGCGCGCCACAAACGACCACCAAGGTACACAAGTACGTCCCATCTTTACTTTTTTTAACGATTATTACTCATTGATTATGGCTCAGATCAGCCTCTTCCAGCCTAGGTATCATGTAGCATTCCTAACTGCTTGCATGTTGTTTCCACACAGCAGCACAGAGACTGAAGAGATAGTGGGTTTGTGATTTGAATTGATAACTGTTTTACAAGCAGTAACAGACCCAACTCAGTTTTGTTTTATTAAACAGCTAACCTGGAACAGCCAGCCTAATATTTTCGGCCGTTTGCATCGCCGCTCCTAAAATTGATTAGCTCAGATTTGCAATGTTTTTAAAATGTGATTATGCCGAGAATAGAGGACAGGTGCCCTAGTTACCTGTAAAAAGAGAGTAAAAATGGGCAAAGTTTATTCTATTTGTGGTAACAAGAAGTCAACACTGAAAAATGTCCAAGAAAGTCAAAGTTAATACCCTCCGTGTTACTTCTTTATGGGGAATAGAGTAGCAGAAGTATTCCAAGAATAGTAAATGCCATCTCGCACTTGCAGCCTTAAATGCCTTAATTTTTAGAAATTAAACGTGAGTTTCTAGCAGTAAAATCAGAGCTTAAAAATTATGAAAAAATATCCTTTAAAATTTTTCAGCACTGAAGAAATTACCTGCAGCGCTAGTCAGCGCACCACCAACAGTTCCTGCACCCTTTACGACTGTTCCCGTAACGGCTTCTGTAAATTTCACCGTTCAAAAAAGTTTCTGCAAATTTTTCGTCTCAAATTAATGCTAAAAAGATTTTGAATTAATCGAACCGCTTGTCTTGTGTGCGACATTCCCTGCATCTTTTATTGCTGTGCTTGCAGCTGCACCTAAAAATTATAGGCTTCGGTGAATGCCATAAAGTCTACTTTTCAATAAGAGTTAGATACGAAGTTGGCTTGTTACCATGAACGATAAATTAGAAGAAAAATAAGCCAGTGTGAGTATCCTATTGTTAGTAGCTTCATCTGAGTGCTCTCATATACCAGGCGCAACTATGTCAGATCCTTAGATCCCAAGCTGCATGTAACACTATTTATAATTATTAAGTGAAATGCTTAATAAAGTTGACTGTGTAAAAAACTTCCTTATAAAAATATTTTGCTCCTAAAAAATTCCCGATGTTTTGCATAATTCAAAAAAGAAGCTTCGCAGCTTAAAATATTTACGAGAAAAAGTACTAGTCTAGGAGGCTGGCGCAGTTATGTGTATTTGCACTAGTTATTTCCGTGTAGTAACTGATTTAGCGCATGCAAATACCAAAATTTCGTACTAATAGCCTGCCTGGCTCTGGGGCTTACATTCGCGCATGCGGACAAAAACTGTGAAACAATAAGATTATATCAGCTACGAAAGCTGATTTCTAGCTATTCAGCCCCCTTAAAAATACCCATAGGGGAAATAAGCGACCGCTCGAGCCATCCCACAAGTGAGGGATGCGCATACACAGAACAAGCGATAGATACAAACTGGAGGAATGCAATCCCACAAGCCGAGCATAGCTATACCCGGCGAGTGTGAGCATCCTGGCAAGCATCACTAACAGGAGATACAGCGAAAGCCAGAACACGGTCTTGGTATTCTTGGTTTAAAGCTAACTAGAGACCTAAAAGCAAAATAAGCTGATTCCGTACAGGGACTGCTCAGCGAAAATTCAAACCATTAGTCTACTTTTCTACTTTATTCAAAAATTGAAACATTTTGGATCCAGGTATCGCACAGTACAAATCCTAATATGAGCAAGACTCACAATTCAAGAATCATCAAAAATTCGCGTACCTGTAGTAGCAGCTACTTTGTGAGCAACATTCCCGGCACCTTTTACTGTGGCTCCAGCAGCCGCACCTGGAATAACAACAGGCAAAAACTAGTAATAAAACTATATTTTTCATTGACTTGATTAGTTGTAATTCATAGCTGGCTCTCAAACTAAGCAGCTGGAAATTTTTCCAGTTGCTCTGGCCATCGCTGGGTCATTTGTTGGTCAGTTTGCCAACGATCCTGACGTTCATTTCGAATTCAGATGAAATTATCAACTCAATGTTTCTTTTGATCGAAGTTTCGAGTTCTTATAGTGTTTGATGAGCACATCCATCTCGTTTCACATTCTGTTACTTTTGGACCATGAAGACTCACCTTTCTGAGTAAAAGCCGAAAAATTTATCCTAAATGCCAGTGTGTAGCTCCCGACTGTATCGAACTTAGCTAACATACGATACATTTTCAGGCACAGCTAGGATCTTACTGTCCAACAAATCAACAAAATATTCGATACCGGTAGAAGCAGCAACTTTATGTGCAACATTTCCTGCATTTCTTGCTGTGGTACCCGCAGTTGTACCTAAAAATAACAGAACTGGTAACAAAGCTTCATTTCAAATTCTTCACGAAAATAGTACGAAAAAAGCAAGAAACTGGATGAAAAAAGTATTAAAAATAGCAATCCAAAAAAATCAGCTCAGCCATTATGGAATTTTTGAATCATTCAGTACAAAATTCTGGCATAATTCAAGCCAAACAGTTCAGTGACCAACAAAAATTGGGTACCGATTGTGGTAGCCATTTTGAAAGCGACATTTCCTGTA